GAGCTGGAGGTGTTGCTGTTCTTGCTGGAGCTGGCGGTACTGGAGGTGCTGCGGCTACTGGTCCTGGAGGTGCTCATACCAGTGGTGCTGGAGCTGCCGGGACTGGTGGTGTTGGGTGCACTGGAGCTGGAGACCCTACGGAGCCTGGAGCAGCTGGCGCTGGAGGCGCTGGACCTGGAGGAGCTGAAGGTGGAGGCCCTGGCGCAGGAGGCGCTGGAGCTGCCGGAGATGGAGTTGGAGGCACTGGCGCCGGAGGCGCTAGACCTGCGGGAGCTGGAGCTGTTGACCCTGGCGCTGGAGGTGCTGGAGGCACTGTGCGGCCGCGGCCGTACTTCGTTCCCCTGCTTTTGAAGGCTCTTGGTGTCCCGTCTTCTACTGGTCTTCCTCCTCCCTTCCTGTGTCCACCGTCTGACCAGTCGCTGCCGTCGTTACAGCCGGCCTCCCCACTGCCTGCTCCCTCTCCTTACACTGAGCAGTCCGGCGGTCTTACAAAGCGTCGTGAGCCTGCGTCTCGTCCTGTCTCGCCTGTTTGCACTGCTCGTCGCGCTCCTGATCGCGTCCTCCTCCTGTCCCCGGCACGCACGCTATGGCACTCCGTCCTTCCTCTGTTCCATTGCGTGTTCCTCTGCCTGCTCCTCCTGAGTCCTCTCTTCCTGAGGTCCCTGACCCTGCGTCTGACCGCGCTCGTGCTGCCAGTCCCACTGTCTCTCGTCTCCTCGCCATTGCTGTCACTGACCCTTCCTTTGAGTATGCTGCTGCGTCTGCTCTTGTTGCTGAGCTGCTTGAATTTGCTGTTGCCTGCCGTCTCGACTACGCCACTGCTCTAGTTGCTGAGTCTGTGTCTCCCAGTCCTCCGTCCGTCGGGGGTGAGTGTGCTCTTGGCACGGACGTCCTTGAGGATAGGCAGGAGGACTTTGAGTGTCTTGCAGCTGCTGTACCTCGTTTCGCTTCCTTGCTGCTTGCCCCTGAGGGAGACCTGGATGCTCCAGACATCCCGACCCCGCGCTCTTACGCAGAGGCGATTACGAGTCCTTACTCCTCTCAGTGGCAGGCAGCCATGGATGCCGGGATGGCATCCTGGAAGTCCACAGGCACCTACGTCTATGAAGTTCGCCCGTCTCGGGCGAACATAGTCGATGGAATGTGGATTTTCAGGGTGAAGCGGCCGCCGGGTTCTCCGCCTGCCTTCAAGGCGCGTTACGTTGCTCGAGGCTTCAGTCAGCAACAGAGAGTCGACTACTTTCAGACCTTCTCTCCCACCCCGAAGATGACTACTCTTCGGGTGTTGCTGCACGTCGCTGCTCAGCGTGACTACGAGTTACACTCTCTGGACTTCAGCACAGCTTTCCTGCAGGGCAGCCTGCACGAGGAGATCTGGCTGCGCCGACCACCTGGATTCACTGGGACGTTTCATGCAGGTACCCAGTGGAGCCTCCGCCGGTTAGTCTACGATCTCCGCCAGGCGCCTCGCGAGTGGCACGACACACTGAGGACTACACTTGCGGCTCTTGGGTTTGCTCCTTCTACTACGGACCCGTCGCTGTTTCTACGCACCGACACGTCGCTGCCGCCGTTCTACGTCCTCGTGTACGTCGACGACCTCGTCTTCGCCACTGCTGACACTGAGGCACTGACCCTTGTGAAGTCCGAGCTGCAGAAGAGACACACCTGCACTGACTTGGGTGAACTGCGCAGCTATCTTGGCCTGCAGATCACCCGGGACAGAGCACGGCGCACCATCACACTGACTCAGTCACACATGGTGCACTATGTCCTTCACCGCTTTGGCTTCTAGTTCTCCTCGCCACAACCCACTCCTCTGTCTACCAGCCACTCGCTCTCAGCTCCACCTTCGGACGAGTCCGTAGAGCCGAGTGGTCCGTACCTAGAGCTTGTGGGTTACCTCATGTACCTGATGACTTGCACACGACCCGACCTCGCGTACCCTCTCAGCCTTCTGGCTCGCTACGTGGCTCCCGGTAGGCACCAAAAGGTGCACTGGGATGCTGCGAAGAGGGTACTGCGTTACCTGTGCAGTACGTCGGGCATGGGGCTTGTGCTTGGAGGACAGGGTCTAGTTGTTCTCACTGGTTACGCAGACGCCTCCTGTGTTGATGACTCAGCTATGCAGCGGTCGTCACAGGGTTACACCTTCAGCCTTGGTTCCGGCTCTGTTTCTTGGCGGTCTACCCGCTCGTCTTCGGTCCTCAGCTCCAGTTGTGAGGCTGAGATCTACGTCGGGGCCATGGCTGCTCAGGAGCTACGCTGGCTCACCTACCTGCTGACTGACTTGGGAGAGCAGCCTCGTTCGCCACCAGTTCTGTACGTAGACAACAAGGCCATGATTGCCTTGTGTCAAGAGCACAGACTGGAGCACAAAACGAAGCACATCGCTCTGCGATTCTTCCTTGCTCGAGAGTTGCAGCAGCGTGGCTAGCTTCGTCTTGCGTACGTGGCCACTCGGGCCAACACTGCTGATGTCTTCACCAAGGCACTTCCACCTGGTGATCATCAGCGCTTTGCTACTGTGTTAGGCCTTGTGCCTACTTTTCCTCACTTGCTTACTGCTTGACTCTGCTTGTACTGTGATCTATATATATACCTGCATGCTTGCACTTGCTAGGGTATGATCACTGTATTGTTGGTTCTTTTTATATAACTCTGCAAGTGAACTGCCTTGTGGCCCTTTGCTTGTGCTCGGACTGTGTGGTGACTTTGTGATCCACCCTGAGCTTGCTTTGCTTTTCTTGACTGGTCTTGTGACCACTTGTTCTCCCCCACGTTGCCTATGGGGGTGTGTCAGAACATTATAGTTTATACATTTGTGTAGGATGTAGTGGGGTAGCCCATAAGGGGTACAACCCAATTAGGGTTAGTACTTGTACCCAACTGTTTGCTAGTTAATTTATTCTCGTTCACAACATTCTAACACGACTGAGATGTACATTTTGATGGTATAAAATTATATATCTGTATCTGTCATTATATAAGCGCATGCACTTATAAAAATGGCTCAAGTAGAAGCGCACCCCCCTAAAAAACTATGCTTTATTATAAGCGCAGGTGCGCTTCTATACGGAATAATACGGTACGCTTAATATTTGTAATTAATAATCATGATGGCCATCAGAGCTGGCGTTAGACTTTGAGATGAGTCTGCGAATCTTTCAGACAGCGACCCTGATTCTACATATGGTAATAACAGGGCCCATTTTTCAAAATTTACTATTCTGATTTTCAGGGCTGTGTTTTTTTTTTTTTAGCAACCCTGATTTTCAGGGTTGGTCCCGAGCGCTATGTGATCTGGGTCAAAATACATTTGTATGTCTGTACCGTATTTCCCCGGATAAAATACCCCCCCATCATAATGTACTCGGGTCTTTAATATGGGGGGAGGGGGGGGGGGTATTTTATTACGGGCTGTTTTCGTTATACCCCCCATTTCGGGTGAAATCATTATAAGACCCCCCCAAACCTCAAAAGTGTTTTTAACATGAAAATATCAGTCCCTGTTTCTGTTTCTGTTCCAAGGATGTCTGACACAATGCAGCGGACGTGGTACACGTCCGTCGTCCCGTGATCTAGTGTGCTGGTTACCACTCAATGTGGGCCAATGTGCTGTCAAACTTATATATAGCTTACATTGTGTAGGCTGTAGTGGGGTAGCCCATAAGGGGTACAACCCTATTAGGGTTAGTACTTGTACGCAACTCTTTGCTAGTTCATTCATTCTCGTTCATTCTCTTGACATGGTTTCAGAGCAGGTCCTCCGCTAGGACCGTTTTTTTTCCTTGGGCCCACCACTGCACTGCTCCTAGCGACCCTCGTGCCGCCCCTTGGCCCGTCGCACCTAGGCCCGTCGCTCCTACCCCGGCCCGTAGGCCTTAGCCAGAGCGCCCCTAGGCTCGTCGTCCCGGCCCCTTGACCTTAGCCCGCGCGCCCGGCCCCGTCGACCCCTAGCTCGCGCGCCCCGGCCCGTCGACCCCTAGCCCGCGCGCCCCGGCCTCGTCGACCCCTAGCCCGCGCGCCCGGCCCCGTAGACCCCTAGCCCACGCCCCGGTCCGTCGACCCCTAGCCCGCGCCCCGGCCCCGTCGACCCCTAGCCCACGCGCCCGGCCCCGTCGACCCCTAGCCCGCGCGCCCCGGCCCGTCGACCCCTAGCCCGCGCGCCCGGCCCCTTCGACCCCTAACCCGCGCGCCCGGCCCCGTCGACCCCTAGCCTACGCGCCTGGCCCCGTCCACCCCTAGCCAGCGCGTCCGGCCCCGTCCACCCCTAGCCAGCGCGCCCGGCCCCGTCGACCCCTAGCCAGCGCGCCCGGCCCCGTCGACCCCTAGCCAGCGCGCCCGGCCCCGTCGACCCCTAGCCCGCGCGCCCGGCACCGTCGACCCCTAGCCCGCGCGCCCCGGCCCTGTCGACCCTAGCCCGCGCGCCCGGCCCCGTCGCCCCTAGCCCTCGCGCCCGGCCCCGTCGCCCCTAGCCCTCGCGCCTGGCCCCGTCGACCCTAGCCCGAGCGCCCCGGCCCCGACGCCCCTAGCCCTAGAGCCCCGGCCCCGTCGACCCCTAGCCCGCGCGCCCCGGCCCCGTCGACCCCTAGCCCGCGCGCCCCGGCCCCGTCGACTCCAGCCCACGCGCCCCGGCCCAATCACCCCTAGCCCGCGCGCCCCGGCCCGTCGCCCTTAGGCCTCTGGCCCCTCGCTCTCGGCCCCGCGACCCGTTGCCCTTAGCCCCCCCGGCCCCTCGCTCTCGGCCCCGCGGCCCGTCGCCCTTAGGCCCCTGGGCCCGCTGCCCCTCGGCCCCATGGCCCGTAGCCCCTAGGCCTCCGGCCCGTTGCCCCTAGGCCCCGCGGCCCATTGCCCCTAGGCCTCCCCCTGGCCCGTTGCTCCTGGCCCCCCGGCCCTTCGGCCCCTCTACTGCTCCTACTGCTACTGCTGCTGCTACTGCTGCTACTGCTGCTGCCTGCCCTGTGCTCTTCGCTCCCCGCTCTGCGTGCTGCGCCGCTATGGCTTCGCTTCGAGTTCTTATGTTCGATCATGAGGGTCGCCTGATCCAGTTTGACACATGGCTGGACGACCTACAGCTGTACCTACTGAGCGACTCTCGGGATAGTGTTTCTTTGTTTGACCTCGCGTCTGGCACTGCTCCTGCCCCTCCCGCCACAGCTGACAGTGCGACTCGCTCCCAGTGGCTTACTCGCGACGCTGCTGCCCGCTTAGCCATTCGCAACCACCTGCCGTTAGCCGAATACGCTCACTTCGGACAGCACAGGACAGCACAGGCACTGTACGACGCTGTCGTCGCTCGCTACTCCGAGCCTGCCACTGCTGCTCTAGGCTGCCTGCTTCTGCCCTACCTGTTCCCCGAGCTGTCAGCCTTTGCCATGGTAGAGGACCTTGTTTCCCACCTGCGTGCTAGTGACGCTGCCTACCGCGCTACCGTCCCTGCTGAGTTCCTTGACAGGAACCCGCCCCCGATGTTCATCACCCTCTACTTCATAGTCACTCGCCTCCCTGACTCTCTTCGCTCTGTCAGGGACCCCTTTCTCTCACTTGACCCCACCTCCCTCACTGTTGACCTACTCGAGGAGCACCTCCTAGCAGCTGAGACTAGTGCAGTTGCTGTAGGTGCTGCTCATGGCACTCCGCGCACGCCCTTCTTTGAGGGGTGCTCCCCCTCCCCCCTTGCCCCCTCCTACGCCTCTGCTGCTGCTGCAGACGTCTCTGGTGCTGAGGACGTCGGCGCAACTTCTGCTAGTGCGAAGTGCCGTAGAAGCAAGGGCAAGGGTGGGAGGGGTGGTGGAGGGGGCAGCGGTAGTGGTGGTGGGGGCAGCAGTGGAGGCAGTGGCGGCAGTGGAGGTGGTGGCACCGGTGGGAGTGGTGGAGGGAGTGGGGGCTCTGGTGGCGGCGGTGGAGGCAGCGGTGGGAGTGGCGGTAGTGGCAGCGGTGGCAGTGGTGGCGGTCGGACTGGAGCTCAGCGAGGAGGTTCTAGAGGAGGCCAGCGGCAGCGGCAGCAGCGTCGGAGCGAGACCCAGTCGCCCCAGCAGCTTCGTGAGTGGTTGTTTCAGCGTGGGGCGTCTGGGGGTAGTGTGAGCTGCCCGTATGTCATTCGCACAAGTGACCGTGCTGGTCAGACATGCGGCACACGCAGCACCGCTGCTTCTCCCGTCTCGACGACGCTTGGCGCGCTGAGTTTGGTGATGAAATCGAGCGCCCCCACTGGGAAGAGCTGCTTAGGTCTGGAGTTGCTATCTTTGACCTAGACTTTGATGCTATTCTTTCTACTATGTATGCTTTGTCTGCTAGTGCTGAGAATGACTGTTACCGGTGTGTGCCGCCTGACCCAGGTATAGACGCTGCTGCTCTAGGTGCTAGTGAGTCTGTTCTCCCTGGTACTGCGCCTGCTGAGGCCTTGCACACCTTCACGCTGGACTCAGGTGCCTCACGCTGTTTCTTTCGTGACAGCACCACCCTCACTCCTCTCCCTGCATCTGTCCTGGTCCGACTGGCTGACCCCTCCGGGGGCCCGGTCGTTGCCCGTTCCTCCACTGTCCTCCCGTGTCCGGAAATTCCGTCCGGCTCACTATCAGGTCTTCACCTCCCCTCGTTCTCTACGAACTTGGTGAGTACCGCTGCCCTCCAGGATGCGATGGTCACTACCACCACTCCAGGGGGTCAGCGTGTGTCGATCTGCACGTGCACACTGACGGGGCGCCACTCGTCGGCCAGGGTCGAGTCTGTACACACTAGCTACCGAGCCTCCTCAGGTAGCTGCGTCTGCTCAGGTGTTCGCGTCAGGTCCGGTAGCAGCCCCCTGCTCGTGTCGCCTCCTGTCGCACCAGACTCTCCTTTGGCAGCACCGCCTTGGTCACCCCTCCTTGCCACGCCTTCGTGGCATGCACTCCCGTCTCCTTTTCTCTGGTCTTCCCAGGTCTCTTCCTCCCCTCCCGCCCTCACCTGCCCCGCCCTGCCTTCCTTGCGTCGAGGGGCGGCAGCGCGCCGCTCCTCACTCCTCCTCGTTTCCTCCGATGACTGCTCCCCTGCAGACTCTCTACATGGACGTGTGGGGCCCAGCCCGCGTCAGTGGACAGGGCTGCGAGCGCTACTTTTTGCTGGTTGTTGACGACAACACGTGGTATACCACGGTCTGTCCCTGGCGCAGCAAGGGTCAGGTCGTTGATGTCTTGATCCCTTGGATCCGCGCAGTCCGTCTCCAGCTCCGCGGTTCCGCCAGGACCTTCCTGTCCTACGTCTGCACTCTGATAGAGGTGGTGAGTTCTCCTCCGACCTCTTGCGGGACTTTTGTTGTGGGGAGGGCATTCTCCAGTCGTTCACGCTTCCGGCCTCCCCTCAGCAAAATGGAATTGCTGAGCGCCGCATTGGCTTATTCATAGAGGTGGCTCGTACCTCCATGATCCATGCGGCTGCTCCCCATTTTCTGTGGCCGTTCGCAGTCCGGTACGCTGCGCATCAGCTCAACCTCTGGCATCTCCTTGCCGAAGACCTCACCGACACTGCGTTGGACGGGGAAGGTTGGCGATGCGTCGGTGTTCCGGGTCTGGGGCTCTCGTGCCTTTGTTCGCAATACTTCCGTGGACAAGCTCTCCGCCCGCGCTATTCCCTGCGTCTTCCTTGGCTTTCCCCCTAACGCGCCTGGCTGGCAGTTTTACCACCCCACCTCACGCCGTGTCTTCCCTTCTCCGGACGTCATATTTAACGAGTCGGTTCCCTTTTACCGTCTCTTACCCTACCGATCTGCCCCTCCCTCACCCCCGCCGCTCTTCCTTGCTCCAGGTCCCCCTCCGGTAGACCCCCTCCCCCCCCAGGGTCCTGCTCCCTCAAGTGTGTCTCAGGTAGACCCTCTCCCTGGTACTGCGCCTGTCGAGGTAGCTGTCGGCTCAGGTGCTGCTCCAGGTGCTGTGTCTGGGGTTGCTGCGTCTGGGGGTGCGGAGCCGGGGGTTGCGGAGTCTGAGGGTGCTGGGTCTTGGGGTGTTGAGCCTGGGGGTGAGGAGCCTGGGGGTGCTGAGCCTGGGGGTGCTGAGCCTGAGGGTGTTGAGACTGGGGGGTGCTGAGTCGGAGGGCGTAGAGTCTGGGGGTGCTGAGCCTCAGGGTGCTGCTTTGTCTGGAGGTCCTGCAAGTGCTTCGTCGAGACTGTCTCCGCAGCAGCTGCGTGAGTGGTTTGTTCAGTGCGCACGCCTTTGGAGTGGAGCTACCGGAGCTGGAGGCACTGGAGCCGCTGGAGCTGGAGGTACTGGCGTTACTACTGGAGCTGGTGGTACTGGAGGTACTGCGGCTATTGGTCTTGGAGGTGCTCGTACCAGGGGTACTGGAGCTGCCGGGACTGGTGGTGTTGGTGGCGCTGGAGCTAGAGACCCTACGGAGCCTGGAGCTGCTGGAGCTGGAGGCTCTTGCGCTGGTGGCGCTGGAGCTGGAGGAGCTGGAGTTGGAGACACTTGCGCGGGAGGCACTGGAGCCGGAGGAGCTGGAGCTGTTGACCCTGGAGGCACTGTGCGGCCGCGACCGTACTTCGTTCAGCAGGTTCTTGGTGTCCCGTGTTCTACCAGCCTTACTCCTCCCCTCCTGTGTCCACCGCCTGACCAGTCGCAGGAGCCGTTACAGCCGGCCTCCCCACTGCCTGCTCCTTCTCCTTACACTGAGCAGTCTGCCGGTCTTACAGAGCGTCGTGAGCCTGCGTCTTGCCCTGTCTCGCCTGTTCGCACTGACCGTCGCGTTCCTCGTTCGCGTCCTCCTCCTGGCCCCGGCACGCACGCTATGGCACTTCGTCCTTCCTCTGTTCCACTGCGTGTTCCTCTGTTCCACTGCGTGTTCCTCTGCCGCCTCCTCTTGCATGTTTCAGTTGTGAGGCTGAGATCTGCGCAGGGGCCATGGTTGCCCAGGAGCTATGCTGGCTCACCTACCTGCTGACTGACCTGGGAGAGCAGCCTCGTTCGCCTCTAGTTCTGTACGTAGACAACAAGGCCATGATTGCCTTGTGTCAGGAGCACAGACTGGAGCCCAGAACGAAGCACATCGCTCTGCGATACTTCCTTGCTCGAGATTTGCAGCAGCGTGGCCAGCTTCGTCTTGTGTACGTGGCCACTAGGGCCAACACTACTGGTATATTCACCAAGGCACTTCCGCCTGGTGATCATCAGCACTTCTCTACTGTGTTAGGCCTTGTGCCTACTTTGCCTCACTTGCTTACTGCGTGACTTTGCTTGTACTGTGATAGATATATATACCTGCATGCTTGTACTTGCTAGGGTATGATCACTGTATTGTTTGTTCTCTTTTATATAACTCTGCATGTGAACTGACCTTGTGGACCTTTGCTTGTGCTCGGACTGTGTGGTGACTTTGTGATCCACCCTGCGCTTGCTTTGCTTTTCTTGACTGTTCTTGTGACCACTTGTTCTCCCCCACTTTGCCTATGGGGGTGTGTCAAACTTATGTATAGCTTACATTGTGTAGGCTGTAGTGGGGTAGCCCATAAGGTGTACAACCCTATTACGGTTAGTACTTGTACCCAACTCTTTGCTAGTTCATTCATTCTCGTTCATTCTCTTGACATGTGCATGAAGCATTCAGATGCTTCATGGATTTTGCCCGCTTCCTCGGCCCAGGACATTCGCGTAGTGTTTCCCCGTTTTAAAAATGCAGCACAGCATTACAACACCCCTGCATTTCATTACATTCGGAAAAACATAGCACTTATTGTAAGACCCGGGTCTTGAAGTTTTTATACAATTTAATAAGACCCCCCACTTTTGTTTAAGAAATCAATAACAGACCCTAGGGTCTTTTATCCGGTGGAATACGGTAGGCTGTAGTGGGGTAGCCTATATAGGGTTCAACCCATTTAGGGTTGGTACTTGTATCTTGCATCCTGCTCAATACACTCATTCTTGTTCATGTATTCTAACATGGTATTAGAGCAGGCTTGTTCCTAGGGCCCACCGAACGTTCCGCCCTGCCCTGCCCGTTTTTTTTTTCTGCCCTCTGCCCAGCGCTTGCACGCCGCCCTGCCCTGCAGCCCGCGAGCTGCACTGCCCTGCCCTTAGGCCCGCGCGCCGCCCTGCCCTTAGGCCCGCGCGCCGCCCTGCCCTTAGAGCCGCGTTGCCCTGCCCTGCAGCCCACGAGCTGCGCTGCCCTGCCCTTAGGCCCGCGCGTCGCCCTGCCCATAGGCCTGCGCGCTGCCCTGCCCTGCAGCCCGCAACCGCACTGCCCTACCCTTAGGCCCGCGTGCCGCCCTGCCCTTAGGCCCGCGCGCCGCCCTGCCCTTAGGCCCGCGCGTCGCCCTGCCCTTAGGCCCGCTCGTCGCCCTGCACATAGGCCCGCGCGCCGCCCTGCCCTGCAGCCCGCGAGCCGCGCTGCCCTGCCCTTAGGCCCGCGCGTCGCCCTGCCCTTAGGCCCGCGCGTCGCCCTGCCCGTAGGCCTGCACGCTGCCCTGCCATGCAGCCCGCAACCGCACCGCCCTGCCCTTAGGCCCGCGCGCTGCCCTGCCCTGCAGCCCCCACGCTGCGCTGCCCTGCCCTTAGGCCCACGTGCCCTGCCCTGCAGCCCACGCGCCGCCCTGCCCTTAGGCCCGCACGCTGCCCTGCCCTTAGAGTCGCGCTGCCCTGCGCCGTGCGCTGCCCGCGCGCGACTGCCCTAGCCTTGCCCCACGAGCGACCTGCACTAGAGCACCCAGTTACTCGCGCACTTCCCTAGCTGCTCCTGCGCTGCTGCTACTGCCTGCCACTGACTGCCATGGCCACTACCACTGTCCTACGTCAGCGGCAGCCGAGTGTGCAGGAGTCTCTCTCGCCACAGCAGCTTCACGAGTGGGCTATCTAGTGGGGCAGCCCCGGTGGCGGAGCTAGCCGTGTTTGTCGGCAGAAGCCACTTTTGCCACAGCATCGTCGTGAGTGGGCTGTCCGGTGGGGCAGCCCCGGTGGCGGAGCCTGGGGTGCTACTACTGGAGGTCCCTGTGAGTCTACTCCTGCTGGTAGTGCCGCTGGTAGTCGCGGAGGTTCTGGGGGTGGACAGCAGCAGCAGCAGCGTCTGCCGGAGACTCTCTCCCCGCAGCAGCTTCATGAATGGGCTGTCCGGTGGGGCAGCCCCGGTGGCGGAGGGTCTCGAAGTACTCGTACTGGGGGTGTAGAGGCACCTGGAGCTGTAGAGGCTGCTAGTCTTGGTGCTTTTGACCTAGCCAGTGCAGGTGCAGAGCCTGAGGAGGCCTTGCACACTTTTACTCTCGACTCAGGCGCGTCTCGTTGCTTCTTCCGCGATAGCACCACAGTCACACCGCTCACAGTCCCCGTCCCTGTCACACTGGCCGACCCCTCCGGGGGCCCGGTAGTCGCGCGTGGCGCTTCTGTTCTCCCTTGTCCGGCGGCCCCTTCCGGCCTCCTCACAGGTCTCCACCTCCCCTCGTTCGCTAAGAACTTGGTGGCTACCTCTGTCCTCTAGGACCAGTGGGTCATTGTCACCCAGCCTGGAGGCGAGCTAGTGGCGATCTGTACGGACTCGCACACTGGTGAGCACCTCGCCACATTCACTCGGAGGCCTGGGTCTGGCCTGTACACACTGACCACTGAGTCTGCACTGGTAGCTGAGTCAGGTCAGGTAGCTGCGTCGGTTGAGGTCGCTGCGTCTTGCTCATGTCGTCTCCTCACGCACCAGACTCTCCTGTAGCACCACTGTCTTGGCCACCCCTCCTTGCCACGCCTTCGTGGCATGCACTCCCGTCTCCTTGTCTCTGGGCTTCCCAGGTCCCTGCCCCCGCTCCCAAGGTCGCTTGCGCCACCGTGCCTTCCCTGCGTCGAGGGGCGGCTGCACGCCGCTCCTCACTCCTCCTCGTTTCCTTCGACCACAGCTCCTCTGCAGACCCTCCACATGGACGTGTGGGGTCCAGCCTGAGTCCATGGACAGGGCGGAGAGCGCTAATTCTTGCTTGTTGTAGACGACTACACGCGCTACACCACAGTCTTCCCCTTGCAGAGCAAGGCGGAGGTCCGCAGTGTTCTGATCCGCTGGATCCGTGCTGTTCATCGCTAGCACAGTGCTCGGTTTCAGCAGGACCTCCCGGTCCTGCGACTGCACTCTGACCGAGGTGGTGAGTTTTCCTCCGGCCTCCTTGAGGACTTCTATGGTGTTGAGGGCATCCGCCAGACGTTCACGCTTCTGGCCTCTCCACAGCAGAATGGGATTGCAGAGCGCCACATTGGCTTGGTGATGGAGGTTGCTCACACCTCCATCGTCCATGCGGCTGCTCCCCATTTTATGTGGCCGTTTGCAGTCTGATACGCTGCTGAGCAACTCAACCTCGTGCCCCGTGTCTCCCACCCGGAGACCTCTCTCACTCTATGGTGGATGGGCGAGGTTGGCGATGCGTCGCCGTTTCGGGTCTGGGGTGCCCTTTCGCTTGTTCACGATCCCCCCCGAGGGGAAGCTCTCTCCCCGCACTCTTTGTTGCGACTTCCTTGGCTTCCCTACCGACGCCCCGGGCTGGCAGTTTTACTACCCGGGTTCCCGTCGTGTTCTCTCCTCCCAGGACGTCACCTTTGACGAGTCTGTCTGCTTCTACCGTCTCCTCCCCCCGCAGGGTCCTACTCCCTCAGGTGTGTCTCAGGTTGACCCGTCCGTTGAGACAGTCGAGGTCTCCTC